TATCTGCATTTATTGGGCTTGTTTCTCCTTAGGGCTGAAGTCTCTCCTGGTGATAAATGTGGTGCTGAGAGAGTCGCAGTCACTCTTCCAGAGACTAGGGCACAACTTAGTGAACTGTGAAAGTAATGCAAAATGACAGTTAAAGTAGGGCATTCTGGTACCTTGGGGGCCTGACAAAGTGGAAGTATTTGACTTCAGATGTGCCAGACTCATTAACATAATAACATACTACCCACCCCAAAGTCTCTCTAGAAACCTCCCATATCCAGAAAGGAGCTGCGAGTAGAAAGTAGTTAGCAAAGAAGGCTCCTGAGCAGGTAAAAAAACAAACAACAACAAAACCCAAAACATTATACAGAAGTCCCTATAGTAAAGATCACGTCATTTCCCTCTCAGAAAAACATCTCAGCTCTCTACCCAGAACTTAACTCTCATTTTCTAGACTGTTCTAATAATTATATAGTTTCCAAGACAGCAGAGTGGAAATATCAAACTTGAAACAGAAGAGGAGCTGCTTTTGATATACTAATAGTACTGAGAAGTAACAATATTGAGTGTTTTATAGCAAGTTGGTGGGAGACATATGTTAAAAATTAAAGGTAAGAACTCAAAAAACACAGTGCTTTGGGGTCAGTGAGTGTACAGGCAAAACCTGCACGGTACAGTGATTTATGTTTAGAAAGGTTCTTCTAAGGAACCAATAAGGAACTGTGTGATAACTTTCAAAAAGAAGGCAGAATGGGTAGGATTTTAAATCAAAGTTTTAGTCCTTAGAGGAGAAAGCACTAAGCTATCTAAAATGTGCTATCCAGGGGCTTCCCGGGCTTCCCTGGTGACGCAGTGGTTGAGAATCCGCCTGCCAATGCAGGGGACACGGGTTCGTGCCCAGGTCCGGGAGGATCCCACATGCAGCGGAGCAGCTAGGCCTGTGAGCCATGGCCGCGGAGCCTGCGCGTCCGGAGCCTGTGCTCTGCAACGGGAGAGGCCACAACAGTGAGAGGCCCGCGTACTGCAAAAACAAACAAACAAACAAACAAACAAAAAACCCTCTGCTATCCAGAAGTATTTATTCTTTAGGTTTTCAGAAAATTAAGATTTTATTAAACCTAAACAAAGTAAGAAGTCTGCTCTCAGTGAATCCTAGGATAAGGAATTCTAATTAGAGAAGGGATTTGGGAGAAATATATTAAATGATAGGAAAGTGACTCTTATTTACCACTGAGACAGAAAATAAGTTTGCTCTAGACCCATTTTTTTTTCTAATGTCAAAATTTAGGTTTTTCAGAAACAAATATTCTTGTCTCTTTGTTGTGTTCCTGTGTTAACTTGGCTGTCTCATTAGAGATGGGGACATTTCCTAGTGAAATTAATGTGACATTTAGAGAAAATTTCCCCTCTCAAATGTTTTATGTTATTTGCCATTTAGAATACTTAGAGAGGGGATTGGAATAATGTCAAGCAAATTCTGATTAAATAAGGCTAACCAGGAGCCAATACATTCATGCAAAAAAAAAAAAAGCTCTTCTATTATTTCTTAAAAAGTGTATTTCTGTTGTCATTCTTTATCTTCTATTGAGATCACCTTGGCAGATAATCTGACAAAAGAGATCCATCTTCTAAACAGCTGAGCTTGCCTTAGAAAACACAGCACATCAGGTCAAAGCCTGTGGCCCATCTTTTGCTCAGGAGAGTTCTCCACTCTGGATGTCTGTTAGAATTACCTGGGAAGCTTTTAAAAAAAATACTAATGCCTGGGCCGCATTCCATGCCAATTACCTCAGAATCTCTTGGAGTGGGACCTTCACAACAGTATTAAAAAAAAAATTCCCTAGTTGATTCTAATGTGCAGTTAGGGCTGAGAATCACCGGCTTAAGGCACGCAAACTATTCATTAAGAAAAGATTATTTCCTTCTTCAGGGTGGTCTGAGTCTCATTGTTTGCTCTGCCTGAAGTGTGAAAAAAATTTGCTCTTTCAATGCACAGGAGTTGGGTTTGAGCACACGCCTTGGATCAGTATGAGCAAGAACACTTGATGTTAGTATACCCTGACCCATAAAAGGCCATCTATGGCCAGTTAGCTCAGTTGTTTGGATTATAGTTCTAATGAGGCCAGAATAGTGTATCCTACCCAATTAGAATAATTCTGTTGCATACGTTGCTTCCATAACGCTAACCAAGCTGCCTCACAAAGAAACTTGATGCTGATTAAATAGGCAAAAGACAATGGATGACTCAGCATAGTACCATCCATTATGGGAAAATCAGTTCTAGTAACCTGCCTCATGAACAGTACTTCTAATTGCATGAGGATGCAGCATGGGCCATCTGTCCATTATGGTTGGTGCTGGTTTGGGGAATGGAGTATTTACATTTGAAGGCCAGGACCCAGGAGAATGGGAGGGGGGTTTACTCTTTTAGACTAAGAAAAAGGAGAAAGATAGGAAGGTGATAAGCTTCAATGATACTCTCCTACCTACAGTGGCAGATCATGGCTGGCTTTTCTGCCCAGGTTAACCCATCTGTATATCACAGCAAGGGAAAGAGAATTGTTAAGGTTTCCATAAGCAAGCCTTTTAGACCTATGTCCTCTTTTAACTCAGTGCCTGTGAGTGGGAATCCTCAAGGTGAGATATATTATTCCATTAGGACCAAGAAGTAGTACAGTCACCAGGGATAAATTTGTATGGTTTTGCTTATTTGCCCAGAGTTCTGGCACCGTGCCTGGAGGTCACATCTCCACAGGACTCCATATTTGATGCACAGTGCACACAGATTGGACACCCTCATATGCAAGTCTATGTAAAATATTCTGCTTGAAAACTGGCTTCTTTAACGTGACAATATCTTGGGATGTTGCTCATGCTTTCCCTGCAAAGCCAGTATCCTCTTTTCTTTTACATCTGTTTCTCTATCTATTAACTTTCTTGAAAAAATGATTTAGGAAGTTTGGAGGCTGAGATGGAATGTATGCACATTACTCTTTTATTGCCTGAATGTGGTCAAATCCCTGCTCCTACTCAGGGATCCAGGTTCTGTAGAAAGCAGAGGATAAGGGTTTCCATCATTCCCACCATGAGTCATGATAAATGCACTTGAAATTCCCCTTTGGATTTGTGTTCTATTATGCCTATTTTATAGAGGAGTAAAATGAGACACATAGAAATTAAGTAATTTGTCCCGGTTGTACAAACTAATAATTAAAACTCCTGAGTGCTTAATCAATTCCCTGTTTTATTTGGACAGAATGCTTTTGGGGGGGCGGTTAGGAGATTTCCACTTATTAAATTATATATTGTGCTGAATATCATAGAAAAGCACATTTACCCAACACCATTTTTGCATTTTATGTTGGTATAAAAATCAGTTCAAGAAGTGTTTGTTGGTTGACTGACTGATGGACAACCTCTTCCAGCATTGTATTCCCCATGCACCTTCAAGTTTGCTTCCTCCTTCTGTAATTATGTTTGCAACAATTTCAGCCTCCATTTTCTTATGAACAAATTAGAAATGAAATGACCCTTTTGATTTTCACTCTCCCAATCCATTCCTTCCAACAGCACAAAAACTTACTTGTGGTTTTCATTAAAGGGGATTTTATCCTCTAGATAAAAGCAGTGTGGGTGGATATTATACAGCTCATCTTCAAATAAGGGGCATGTGGAGGGCATGGGCATGCCTGAGTAAGTACAGGGCAGTGATGGGATTTAGTTTTCTTCTCCATATGTTCTTCCTTCTTTCTCTCACCTACTCTCCACCCCCATCCCCACTTACTCTAGATACTTAGGGTCCCTATCCTGACTATTGGCTATTTGGTGCTCATGTGGTAGTTAGATCTGCTTTCATCTGTCCTGTTTTCCCCTCTACCAAATTCTGAGCTCCTTGAAACATAAAGCTGCATCTAAGAGCCTAGCGACAGTAGTCATCGGAAAGGAATGTACTATTTTGTTAGCTCGACAGCTATTGTGTTTCCTTTCCCAGGCACTTTCAGTTGAAGTGATTTCAGAAGGCCCTAAGGAATGGTGAGAATGGTGAGAATTTCTGGTAGACTGGCATGAGAGTGGAGGAGATGTGTTTGGACATTTTTCAGTTTATACAATGGTTCAAGGAGAGTAGTACTTTAGTGTTAGAGGTAAGATCCACTTTACTGGACTTTCAGTTACTTCAATGTTGACTTTTCCCTGTGTTCCCCCTTCTAAGGCTGCCCCCCCTTCAATCCACCCCCAACCTCTGGATGCTCATCAGCTGTTAGCCCATCTCTTTCATCTGACAGGTATTCTGCATTTGCTTTTGTAAAACCATTGTTCAGGCAGTCTGCTGTAACCAGATTAGACAGTGGTGTTTTAATGATAGGAACGTGCTATGATAGGTTTGCTTGCAAACTTCATGTTTCACATGAAAGGCTTTGGCACCCCCTGTGGACTGCCCTTCATCCCGTTTTAGGCATAATACTTGTTTGCCTTTATGTCTGTGATAAAACGAAGGCCTTCCTGTATAACCAGTGCTGAGCAAAATGTCTTAAAACAAAGGGAAGTGCAGTTTAAATCCACAGTGATTACCTTGCTTGCATTTCCATATCTATGGAATACATATTTTAACATGTTAATTATCTACTACTAATAAAAATACCTTTGAACTTCCAGTCAATTTGATGGGCACAGAATTGTGTCCACTGGGGAATGGGAAGCAATTAGTTTCTGTAAAGATTTTGGGTCATGCTGTATCTTCCCTAAGTGGTTGCATGGTCAGTAGCCAGGCATATTCTAGGGGATGTTTGTGTCAAGTTCATCTTCATCTGCCTGGGAGAGCTGCCTCCACAGAGCCCCCAGGGCCCCAAGGAGGTGTCAGGCATTCGTCAGGCTGTTGCACCACTATGGCCTTGGTTTCTGATTCATTCATTGCCTCTTGCCCAGTAGAAAAATTCCTCCTAAGCAGGAGAGTTTAGCTCTTTTCATGAGTCATCTCTGTAACCTTTTTAATCTTTTTTTCCCCCCCACTGCAGACTGAAAACTATTCTTTTGACTCCAACTATGTGAACAGCCGAGCCCATTTAATCAAAAGGTATGTTGGTTTGCTTGCCTATTTCTACAACTAAGCTTGATTTAATATAAAAAGCAAAAAGATTAAGTATTTTTAATGGTGCCGTTTTCAGATTTTGAAATGAAAATACCTATCTGTTTATCGTAGAAAATTAGGAAAATTCAGAAAAGCACTAAAAAAAACTAAGTAAAAATCACTGGTAATTCCGCCACCTAGAATCACTGTCGACATTTTATCATGTTTATTTACATAACTGTATACAGAAATAATTAACAAAATAAAAAAAATTGGGGTCATATTAAAATACAGCTTTATGTGATGATTAAGAAATCTAATATTAAAATTTTCTCCTGTGGAACTTCTAGTGAATTTCAGCATGGCTGTTATTTTGACAACTTTGAAATCATTTTAAGGCTATTTTAATGACAGATAAACTAATTCCTTATCTTTAAAAAACTTTATAGATGAGAGAGGGAAAGAAAAGGTATTTGCCTAATTCAATAAATCTTGAAATAGAAGTATTTCAAATGAAGCGTTCAAAGTTGAGATTTGTGTGAATGGTTGGTCATAACTCAGTTATCCATGGAGCCACAATGTATGTGAATACAGAGCTGAATACTGCCAAGGAAGATTTCTATCTGGTGCGGTGGGCACTGAGGTGCACAAGGCAGGCAAGACAAGGGGTTCAGGGAGTCCTCTAAGGAGAGAACTTGTGCAGAAAAATTGGTACTGACCATTCAGATGATGCCTTTATTACTGTTTGATGCAGATATCCTCTTGAATGGTCCAGTGGTTATTCTGCAGCTAAAATTGAACTCTGTGTGTGATTGTTAAAATAATAGAAATGAAATAGAGAAGCAAGCAGGGTATGTTAGAGCTGCAGTAGAGAAGATCTGAAAATTCTATTATTTGCTGGCTCTAATTCCATAAATTTACATCACCAGAAGTGTAGGATTCGAGGAATAAACTAGTTTGTTGTACAAACAACTTTAATTCCGATCTAATTTAATTCACGATGCTGCAGTAACCCCTGAAAACTGCTAGGTTTATCTGTATCGGTCTGGAATCGCTTGTGACCTTAAGTGTCGATCGTTAATTATCTGAAAATGGATAGCCCAGTATTAACAGTCATAGCATTGTTTGGAAGTTTTTGAGGGGTTGGGAGGAATTCATTTTGAATATTTTCTTGGCCTACAGAATAAAAGCAGAAGGGGAGGAATTCAAAATTATCCGACTGATCTATTAGGAGGGAAAAAGCCCTCTTTTTTGTGCACTTATTAGAGTAACCACAGCAGAAATTTGCTTTCTTTCTGCTTCAGAACTGTTATTTCATAGCTCCTTTTTTAAACTTCTGGTAAAAACAGTGACTTACCTTATCCTCATAGATCCCTTGGGCTAGCTCTGGGTACCCGGGGATTCTACGACCAGGTTAAACTAATAGCATAAGCCGGATTTTCATAGCATGGCAGAAAGCTAAGACTCCTGGGGACCCTCACCGTCTTAGGTCAGACCTGAATATCCATTTCACAAGGCAAACTGATGAGATGAAAACTTATGTTCGAACATTTAGCTGTCGGGACACATGTATTTCCACAGCAGCTTTGGGACTCACTTGAACTTCTGATTTTGATTAATTACTTTATATGTTTTTGTTTGCACACACAGACACACAAAAGGCACAACCTGGACTCAATAGGATCTCAGTGGAAAAATCTCCTGATGTTGCCTGAAATCAAAGATAGTGGCTTTTTACCAGGGACAACCTTGATTAAGAGGAAACATCTGAAAGCTCAGGAACACATGCATTTTTGCCAGGTTCTGTTTTTGGAGCCCTGAGGGCTTTAGAAAACCACAAAGGCCTTGGAATTTATAGGATCAATTGAATTTAGACAAAGCACAATACCTGGAAAGACACAGGGAATCTTGTGTGCTATGCTTTTGGGGGGGGACTAACTATTTTAAATGTAAAATGTGTGGAAAATGTTAAGAGAGTAGTGACTAGGTGATAAAACCACACAAAACATGTTCAAATAGCTCACAGTGATGTTTGAAAGGCGTTTCGCTGTATGTGGTTTCTTGAGGATCCATTTACATGCATGGAAAAAGCTCCTGGCCAGGACATTCTGAATCTGATTATCAGTTTTAATTTTATTATCAAGTCCTTGTTTCTTTAAATGCCAATCCAATTTCAGGCCAACCTTGAGAACTTCTTTTCCTATCCATTTTTTCTTCCTCTATTCACTTTCTACCCATCCAAGGATGCTTCTTGGGCCCTTCTTTTTAGCATTCTCCAGCAGTTATTAACTGTCTTACACTCAGACTTCTTTTTTTCTCTCATCTGTCTACCTAGGGTAAACCAAAGGAAAGCCAGAGGGCAAGGGGGTTCTCCTAGCACAAATCAAGGTTGAGAAGGGTGAAGAGTAGATATGGAAGGGTAACGGAAGATATATGGCACATTCGTCCATAATCTTCTGCACTGAGTAATCTAGCAATATATTTCTGTAGTTTTTTTTTTTTTTCAGAACGTCACCTGTAACCTGCAGGTATACTCAAGATTTATGTCAGAGTCCAGATTAACAAGCCAAGACAGTTAGGAGTTTTTCTGGATGGATTTCCTTCCTGCTATGTTTGTTTCCTTGCTGTCATCTCAGCAAGGAAAGCCAGCAGTGCTACTTTGTCCCTGCTGCAACACTCTTTCCTCATGCCAGTTTTCTGTGCTGCTGTCTGATACCTGCTTCTACAGTGCTTTTTGAGCAATATCAAGCAGTGCATGTGGCTATAGCTCAAAGAAAATAAAACAGGAAATGAATATGGTACTGAAGCAGTGTGGGGAAAAAAATGAGCATTGGCTCCTAAACCATGCATAGTGCTTTCCTTTTCCACCCGAATTGTCCTGGGGTTTTGCAGCACCTGGTATGGTGCCTTGTCTATAACAAATGTTGGTACATGTTTCTTGAAGGAATGGAGGAAAAAAGTTGAAAAAAACGCCTCAGTATTTTTCCATTGAAAACTAGCATTAAATGTTCCCTTAAACCTGCAATTTCTGTCCTTTTATGTGCATTAGAATCTCCTGGGAGGCTTGTTAAATGCAGAGTCTCTAGCTCCATCCCTGGAGAATCTCCAGTTTTCACAGGTTCCCAAGGTGATTGTGATACAGGTGGTCTAGGAACCACTCTGGGATCTTCCTTATGTTTCTTAAATATAGTTTCCCTTCTCTTTTGACTTTCACTCTTTTCTCATTCTCAGAAGGTATTTCCTGGGTATGTGGTGTGACCTACTAGGAAGATAAGACCTGTTTCCTTTCAGATTTTTTTGTCTTTTGGAAAGATTTCCAATATTTTAAAGGGTAAATACGGGTCAGAATGTTATTAATGATCATTCATCAAGAATTTTATGAGTAACCATTGTGTGCAGAATCTTGTTCTAAGTTTTCTCAGACAAACTTGTCCCTCTGTTGGCCACCAGAGCAAGTAATAGAAACATTTGTATTTACAATACCATTGCAAAAAGAACCCTAATTTATTGTCCCACAAAAGTTGGTTTACAAGTCATTCATCTCCCAAGAAGTACACAGGTAATAAAGCAAGTGGAATCAGCATTTTTTATGCCTGGCATAAATTGTTATTTGTTTTGGGTGAGTGGCCATTTACCAGGCTGTTTTACAATTTGCAGCATCTTACTTACTGTCTTAAACTGCCTTACAGAAATCCATTCATTAAGCCACTAAATGTCCTTACAGGATGAGAGAGAGAAAGTGGTACTTAGAGAGTAAGTGGTACTTAGTTTGTCAGATGGGCAAACTGAGCTTTAAACAAGTTAACTATTCTAAGGTTTGGAGGAGGGGGTTAATACTCCTTGCTTTTTCTTTAGAGAATATATGACTTATTCTCTCCTTACCAGTCCCTTAAGTCCTAGTAGCCAATTCTTCACTATTTTATTATTTCTCTTCTTTCTACCTAAAAAACCAAAAGCTCCGAGGTGGTTTATAATATTTAGATGCATATAAAAACGATGATCAAAAATTTAAAAGACAGATCCAAAACCAATTACAAGAAGCTAAATAGAGATCCCTGGCATGTAACTCACTGCAATTAAACATTATATTTTCCTTGAAGCTTTTGAGAAGCCAAGACAGAAAGGTAAGTATACCAGAGCGTGTCATTCTCATTTTTTAATAAAGGAAGGACACACATTTGACAGGAGAGTTTTTTTCCTGTCCCTGAATTTTAGAAGAAATTAACAGAGTGGACAATGTCTGACTATAGTTTATAGAAGATATAGAAACATTATTTATATATACATTTCCTATATCAATCCTATAAAAAGACTATGGACATAATATTTAATGGTAACTCAGTGAAAGCATTACCACATATGGGAGTAATGATCATATTAAACAATAACCATTTACTGAGCATTTGTGTATACCTGGTACTTCATGTGAACTATCTCATTGAGTCCTCAAAATGGCCTCTTGAAAGAGGTTTTAGCAAATGCATTTTATTATTTTTTTAAGTTTTTTCTTTTTCTTTCTTTTTTTTTTTTAAATTGGAGTATAGTTGATTAACAATGATGTACTTAGTTCCCCAACAAGGGATTGAACCTGGGCCCTTGGCAGTGAAAGCATGGAATCCTAACCACTGGACCGCCAGGAAATTCCCAGCAAATGCATTTTACAGACAAGGAAGTCTAGGCACCAAGACATTAGCTATCAGGCCCAGGTTCCCATAGATGAAGTGGCAGATTATGGATTATCACTTGTTCTAATGACTCCAAGTTCAGTGCTCTTTCCACTACAGTCAGGAAATCTAATATGCTACAGGAATAGAGTTTAAAGAACCTAGAGCAGTGGTTCTCACCTGGGAGTGATTTGGCAAAGTCTGGAGACATTTTTGGTTGTAACTTCTGGGAGGGGCACTACTGGCATCTAGTGGGTAGAGGCCAGGGATGCTGCTAAATATCCTACAATGCACAGGACACCCCCCCCAACCCACAACAAAGAATTATGCATCCCAAAATATCAGTGGTGCCGAGGTTGAGAACCTTGCTCTAAGGAATGGTTAGTTGCATTGTCCTTATTCTACACCCCTCACCATCGTATGTCTCAAGCAAGTTTTAGCAACTGCTGAAATGCAGTCAATTCAGGGTTGAATTCTGTGATTTAAGGTAACAATTTTGCATTGTGGATTAAAGAAATTTTCACATGCTTCAGATAGCAGAAATGCAGGTCAAAAAATTATTTGTTATAAAAATGTAGGAACCAGTAATACCATCCAGGCAGGTTTCCTTTCTCCTGAGGTGCAGGGGTGCATGTGGGCAGGACCAGATTTTTTTCTAAAAAACAAACTTTGAATCTGTTCATGCTGTGTGATTAGTATTTACAGGAAGCCTCCAAATCTGTGCCATAAAACTAGAGGTGGTGACACACTTTAAAGCATGTGTTTCCATTTGGTCTTAATGACCATAAAAGACTCATAAGATGATTGATTTTTGAATAGGACTGCATCCTGGTGGGTCCATAGGGCTGAGTAGCTGCATGACATAATTTGGAGGAGCTGAGTGAGTTGGCCTATTGAGTGATTTTAGTTTTAATACAGTTGATGCTCAGTTATTCTTTCTGAAAATAATTAGCAAACAGGTCAATGCTTCACCCCCTTCTGCCCTTCATTTTCTGACAATTATGGCTTTCCAGTTACTGCCCTTTTGGTCTTTTCCTTTTCATATTCAGGGCAGCAAGCATTCTACATCTAGGTTGGTCATATGTTAAAAATCTGCTGTGATTTCCTTTTGACCAAGTGTGGAGATTGACAATGTAGCCATTGTGTCCATGGCATAGCTCTTCATCGTATGTACTGAATGTTCTTATCAAAGCTTCAGAGAGCCAGGCCTGTGGATGTTCAAGGTTGAGCAGATCAAGCGAGTTTGCAGTGTCATCTCCACAGGGCTCCCTTTTCAGAGGTAGAGTAGATCTGTTGAGACTTGTCCTAATTCACAAGCCTGCCACTCTCCCTTGTTGAGACAACAACACATTTTCTTGAGTATGCCTTTGCAGCTTCCTCACTGACTAGGGAATGGATTCCCCATTCACTAGGTATTTCAGATGCATAATTTATGGTCCATGGTGGAGCACAGCTGCAGATTCTGTCAGGACACACAAAGTATTAGAAATAGCAGATGGGGCCTCTATGGATGTACCTAATGTATTGTTCTCTATTTCGTGAGAAATGGTGTGGGGATTTGGGGTAGTATGCTTAGTGCATTGAATGGTGGATTGATTTAATAGGTGCAAGAAAAATTTACACACAAAGTCTTGAGCTGCAAGTTGCCATGTTCTTAGCATAGCTACACTCACAGTTTTCTTAGAGTTCACTCTCTGGTTCTCACTTTTGTCTTACTTTCCATGCACGAAGGCTCTCTTCTTCTCAGCTCCTACCTCTCCTCTTTTTCTTTGACTCTGTCCCTCAACCTTTCTCAGTTAAAACTGACCTGAGTTCTCTGATCCTGATAACCCTTTCTATTTGAATTGCATTACCTCAATTTCTTCCACTTTCATTTTCACAGTTGGTTAGTAGATATCTTTGGAGAGGTAGTATACATAGTGTTTAAGGGTCCAGGCTCTGCAGCTAGACTGCCTGGGTTTGGTCTTAGATCTGCTACATTTTAACCAGCTATGTGACCTTGGACAAGTTATTTAACTTCCATGTGCCTCTCTTTTCTTCACCTGTAAATGTGAATATTAATAGCACCTGTCTCTTATAGAGTTGTGATTATTAAAATAGTTAACTCATGTCAAGCGCTTAGAACAGTGCCTCATGCACAGTAATCCCTCAGTAAACATTAGCTGTTATTATTTTAATTTGATTATATAAGAAGAGAAAAAAACCTTCTGAAATGATGATATTTTTTGCAGGTGGTTGTTTCAGAGTTGTAGCTTCTTCCGCCTCGCCAGTAGTGATGCAATGAAGATAAGTGAATGAAAGTATTAGCTGCATCAGCATCCAGTAGTGGGAACCTCTCTACAATGTTAAGTTCCGTGATCTTTAAACAGAAATTTCTCTTCCTCCTGCCCTGTTGGACAATCCAGTTGCTGTTGGCCTCACCACAGAGCTGACATCATCCTGGCTCTGAAAGAGTTTTAAAAATCAGATCTATCACAGTTATAAATTATCATTCTTTCTTTAACCCAGCAGCTCCACCTTCAAGGACTTAGAGGGCAACAGCCTGAAGGATAGCGGCCATGAGGAGAGTGACCAGACCGACAGTGAGCATGATGTCCAGCGAAGCCTGTATTGTGACACTGCTGTCAATGATGTGCTGAACACCAGCGTGACCTCCATGGGATCTCAGATGCCTGACCATGGTAAGGGCTGATAGGCTGTAAGTTGCAACCATAGATTCCAAAGAACCCAGGATGTTTGGAGGCTCACTGCATTACTTTACTGTAATAAGTGTATTTTCCTACAGGGTTTTGAGATGTCCTGACACCTGTCCAGACTCTTCTTCACCCTCCATGAGTGGATCCCCTATGATCATATAACGTTCAGGCATTTAAAAAGCCAACTACCTATACATATTGTATACATACTCATCGATCATAACTGCACTGCACACATAGGAAATTAGTAGATGCCTTCTCACTAGGAATAAACGCCTCTTTTTGCTTTAGTACATGAATTGGACTGATCAGTTGAGTTGCAGAGAACACAGCACTTATGACACCAAAGGGGTGAGTTTTATTTCCATATCAAGTTGGTTAACTTTACCCAGAAAGAGACCCTGTTCTCTGACCACAGATTGCATACTCTTTACTGAGGAGAGAGTACAAAACTTCCCATTTTGTCTATGGGGCTGTGATGCCAAATCCCACTAGCTACCATGCAAATGCATGCCATTGTTCATAGGAGAGACCAGGGTAAGAAAACATGGCTGAATTAATGTAACATTCTGTGCATGTCAAAAATGCCTCAAAGCGCATGTCAGGAACAGCATCCTCATGTATGAAGAAGAGTCTATTTTTGGGAACTCAGCCACACATGCTTTAGCAAGAAGAGCCAAGCATAAACCAGGGTATAAAAACATTAGCAGAGTTCAGCTAAGGCAGAATGTTCAGATGGACTTGGGCACAAATGTCATTTTCAGTGTTTTACTGATGCAAACATGTTGGGCAAGCAGCCTGTCTTTTTCAATTAAGAACTATGAATTCAGCTTGGTGTTTAGGCTCAGTGAAGGTTCAGAATGCTTGGCTATGTCTTGAGAGAAGCTAGACGCAAGCTCAGCTGGAAGCCCCACTGCTAAAAGACTTAAAGATGAGAAAACAAAATATGGTGATTATGTGCTGGTCTTCAGCTGTTTCATTTCACTGTAAACATCATTAAATGCTTTTGTTTTGGTCTTGTAAATGAATCCAAAGGAAAAAAAATGTAAGATCCACAAAATAAAATGTTTTCTATGGAGAAAAAGTTAGTCACTGTAGATTCTATTAAGTTGTTTAGTCCATCCCCTCCCCAGCAGATCCAAGTGTCAAAGTCTATAATATATATGTCACTACCGATTGTGCACTGCTGCCTTCTCCCATTGGTGAGTGGTGCCATCCGCAGAGATACTATACTTTCTGGGTAATCTTACTAAGACTAAAGATGAAAAAATTAAACATTTATATAACTGAAACAGAGGCTATTTGATTCCCAGAGGATTAGCAGTGTGTCACAGGATACAGACTGATATGTATCATTTACTGGTCTTGTGTCTCAAAGAAATGCTTTTTCATTTGTATCAGAAAGGGTTTTAGTTAGATGCTCTCTAAAATGAAATGACTCCAGGAAAAGAGATAGTCATAATTGATTCTCACTTTGTGCCTGGCTAGAACAACATTTGTTTTAGTTTTTTGTCACATGTCTCTAGGAAAATAGTACCAGTGGACTGCAGCTAATTTTTCTGAGTGTTTCTTACAAAAGGGATGTATTGTGTATAGATACTGTAGATTTGTAATAATGAGACTTCTAAAGCAAATGTGTGGCATTATCCCAAGGCTCTCCTATGTTTAAGATGGGGATTACACACACACACACACACACACACACACACACACACACACAGTTTTTTGCTCTTCTGTTTTGGCAACACTTTTACATTTTGTTTCTCAATATTCGATTCTTATCTATGTATCTTCATTTTTTCCATTATTCTAGCAGTGGCTAAACCTTGAACCAACCCTCGGGTTTGTTCTTTTCAATTTGGTTGAGTCATTAAAGTTTAGTTACAAAGGGAATTCAGGCCTTGTTTACATCTCTGGCTCTACCTTATGATATCCCAGTACTACTGAGCTTTCCATAATGGTACTTAATTGTATCCCCAATCAACTCTAGGCTAGCCACATAGGTGGTGTCACCAGTTTACTTGGGTTGAATATTGCTACCTCAAACAATAGCAATGATTCAAAAATTAACGTTTTCTAGCATTTTCTCAAACTTGGATTCATATAATAAATGTTTTTCATTTTATCCTAAGGCACAGTGGTTGAAAGTCAATCACTGACTGATTGCATTTTGATTGCCCCAACCAAACACATCTGTGAGCTGGGTCAGGGTGGAGATATGATGGAATGGCAGGAATCTCTTCTTTCTGGCTTATTATCAATCCTGGTATCACTCTCGACAAGCCTAAAACCAGGTCAGTGGGTTGATGAACTGGCTGAGCTGAATTTCCTGGTTGCCAGGTGACTGAATTACATTTATCATCTGCAGTGCCTTTGAATTAATATGTCTCAGCTTGTCCCCCATACTGTAGCTCTTGTCATGGCTTCCCAGAAAAGAAGGTGATGGAACATTCTTTATCCTGTACTTCTACTGGCATATGGCACTTTTTTGCAATGCTATCTCTCTATAGCTCTCAGAGTGCCTTGAGAACAAGTAAGTGTTATCACTCAGCAGATTTTACCACCTGATCTGGTTCCTGATGTGATTTGGTGCTGAGCTGGGGAGTCGCACTCAAATCTTTTAACCATTGTTTTCCCTCCCTGAATTTGAGTTATTTGGTAAAATTACCACCTTCTGGCAGGGACAAAAATTTCTCCCTATGCAATTTCTGCAGACAATCTCTAAGAAGCATAGCCAAAAAGTAGGGTGGTCAGAGATGCCAGAGGCTCATGGGTTTGTTGCACAATTGGGGGTTTCACTGGGCTTGAATCTCTTCCTGTCAGGGTTATTTTTGGATTGAATAGTGCTGGGTTAAGAGGCTTTTGTCTCCTTGCTTCTTTGCATGCCCATTTGTGATGACTTGGATATCCCATTATGCATACTCAAATGTGTAGTCCTGATATGAAATTAGAGTTTATAGGTTCATGTCTTAGAACTGTACATACTAGTCCCAAGCCCAGCTAATTTGTTTCAAATCACACTCAATCTCTTACCTTATGATTTTAGTTATTGATTATAAATTCATCAGCTGAAAAGATGACTCTAATTCCTGTAATATGCACCTAATTTGGAGTTCACTACAACACTGAATTGGTTTCCCCTCCCATGCTAATTGATACCAAATGGAAGCAACATACAGAAATTTGTGATAACATCTAGCTGATTTTGACATCTAAAATCACCAAAATGCAATATAATGATTGCTTTATTTCTCGGAGTGTAGGTTCTTCTGCATGTTCCTAAACTTGTTTATTTGCTAGTTTCATCGCCTGAATATCATTTAACATGTTTGTTGTGTAAAACATGGATTTGAAGAACTTGATCTGTGTCTAATGTAACCACTGTTGCAAATTAGCCACGAAAATGTTCTGTAGACTGCATACTATGCATATTCTAATTTCAACCACAGGTGTATTAAGACGTTTACACTTTCAACACTCTACCAACAATGTGTAATTTAATTTCCTCTAGGCTTTTAATGAAATTATGATTCAGTGACTAAACATCCTTTCCTTATCCTCTTACCTATCCCCCGACTCACCTCTCACCTCACTAAATTTCCAAACACTCATTTCAATTAATCTCTTAGCAAAATAGGGAGTTCTCAATGGAGAATATTTTGTGACATTGCAAAGCAGTGTGCTGCTGGGCTCCAGAAATGGTAGCATAAACCAGATGTTCATAGAGTAATTGAAAATTCCATTTTATCAGAATAGCATTTGCTGTCAAAAAGTTTTATCTTTACTTCAACAAAGAGGTTGATTAGCTCCCCCTGGACCCGAATTAGCATCTTTCAGGCTAGATATACTGTTTTGCAATTCATGTGGTTATTTCTCCCCTGGTTTTGCTCATATAGAATCTTTTAAAGGTGTCTTTAGCCTCTTGAAAATATACCAGGTAAAATGTTTAATTACTTGGACACAGTAATGTATATGTATACAGTGTTTCTATATATATGACTTGCAGGTTTTTTTCATCTTGCCTTAGGTATACAGCATTCTAACCAGACAGGAACAATCCATGCATAGATATATATTATTCATTCATTCAGCAATATTTTGGAGTGCCCACTATATGTCTGGCTCTGGGAATGTGTCAACTACTTCTGTTATTGACTGTGAAAGTTATCTTTTTAGCTATGCTTATCCGGGTTTTACTGGGGTGACCAAGGTCAGCTCAATGATGAAATGAATAATTCTTTCTGATTTTAGAAATCATCATAAGAATAGAGCCTGGGACTAATAAAAACCTTATTAATATTGTGCCAATAAAGCAAAAGAAGCAATAAAAGAAGACTGTTACACTCAAGATCTTATTTTTAGTAAGAGTATCACGAAAGGTTCTTGATGTTCTAATTTGAACAGTGTCACAATGTTAAACATTTTCTTTTTAAATCCATCTACTCTGAGGTTGAACTTCCTGCTTACTTTTAGTTACTGTCATTGTAAGATGGTTGGTTTAATCTCTGACATGCCCAGTTACCTTGCTGGTTAAGAGGTACTCAGTGATACTCAATACCCAGTCTCCCTTTCATTCTGACATCCAGGACGTTTATCCATTCTCAGTCTCAGCAATGGCTGGGTAGGTGGGAAGAGAAGTGACAGGTGGATGCTTTTGTTTATTTCAACTACATTGCTGCACCAGATAATTGAACTCCTTCCAAAGCATTATTTACATTTTATTGGCAAGGTAGCCGCTAGAATAAAATGTGTTGTCCTTAACTAATGGAAACATCCATGCTCTTAGCAGTTGTTTACTAGCATTATTTTGGCCTGGGCCTTTTGGTCAGAGAATTCTTTTAGGACAGCTCTGTTCATCTGCTTTGAAATAAAAGCACTATTCCTTTTCTTAATATAATAATGTTTTCCTGATCCACTTGGAACTTTTAGTTGTCTCATAGTCATTGTCTATTTTAAAATTTATTATTATTAATAATTACCTGTAG